ATATTTAACTTTATAATGCTATAACTTATTGAAAAGTTTATGGATCCACACAATTTTTTTATGAGAAATAATATTTTTTAATAAACCTTTTTTCATTCGACATACTTTATCTTAATCGAGATATTAATAAGGAATAAGCAGATCAAGTAGCTTTTGGAATAAAACACCAATTTTTTTTAAATTAAACACTATCTAAAGATTTGCATCGAAGCGTTTATTTTTGATAGTGATTTTAATCACTGTCAGATATCATTATACTTGATCCAACTATGCCACGTCACCACTGTGCCGCGACCCCCCTGTGCTGGGTTTTTTTTAACCTATTTTTTTTTTGTCTTTTAAAGTGAAAGTTTATAATAAAAAAAAAATGAATTTACTACCATAACTTTTTAAGCTCAATTTGCAAGTTAAAAAAATGGTATTCTTAAGATTAATATGCAACCAGGAAATTTTATAATTACTATTTACAGTAAATTTTTTATTTCATCCATTGTTAAATTCAGGTGAAAGTAAAAATCATTTTTTTTTTTAGATTTATGATTTATATAGCAACATGTTACGAAAAAATTTGGAATGTTATAGACTGGTAGTAGCACACACAAATAGAGTAAAAAAATTAGGTAAATTTCAAAGTAAAATTATATAATATCAAATCTAATTTGTTTTACATATACTTTCGTACTAGTAAAGAAAGATGTATAGCCACTTCGAATACTTTGAGAAAAACGAATGTTGGAAAATTTTTGTTAACCTTGAACAATTAGTCATTAGTATTTATAAATTTTAATATAGAATAAAATCACTGGAGAGACTGTAGGACGTCTCCTTCTTTCAAAAAACTCGTATACGTCTTTTTTCCTTAATATTGTTTAATCATCGATATATCTTATCAAAGAAATATTTTACGATAATTTTGTAGTAAATAAATAAAATATAATAAGGTTAAGGTACTAAAATAAATAACACGTTCCTTTTTAATAGTAAAATATATATTCAAGTAATCATTAGTATTTTATGAATATAAAATTTTACATTATTTTTAGAAAAAAAACAAATTATAATATTTTATGAACTTCGTTTGTCATAGGGATGTATTCAAACATTTTATCGTATACAATTTGTATTGTTATAATATAATTTGTATTATAATAATACAATCAAACAATATGCTGTAGTGTTGGTCGAAAAATTTTCATCGGATTCAAATTCTAATCTAATATCTACTGGCGCATTTTTTAATTTTTCGTTTTGCCTTGAGATTTGATCTAAACGCATATTAATTCTGGTACTAATAATTTGCAACTATGATGTACTTTTATAAAGTATAATTCAGGGAACATAATGTAGAGGATATTATTTTAAACGTGATAAAGTCATTGAGGGCGTGTGAATTGTTAATATCGGATAGGTTAATGCACACTCGTGTTCGTTAAATATATGTATAGTATCAAAAAATTGCTTGTCAGTAAACCGAATAGTAATTAATATACACACGAATTTCAGAAAAATATTTCAACTAAAGGAAGTAGTCAGATGATTATGGAAAACAATACCTAGAAAACTAGAAAAGTTATTAACATGGCCGCCGGGGATTGACGGCCGGTTATAGAAAGTGTACCGGAAATCATGTGAAAAAAAGAGGCACGGTACGGGATTAGAACCCGCGACCCAAGGCGTCGTATAGACAAACCTTACCACTAGGCCACCGTGCACTTATGATTCAGATCCCGATACACTTTCATTTAGGTTGATAACGTGATGTGCGGCTGAGGGAAACACGGTACTGTGTCATTATTAACTTAGGTAACATTGACGGTTAGCTCAAATACAGAAATGTGTCGTCATCATCATAATATGAAATAACAGTGGACTGCTCTATTAGTGTCCATAACAATGGTCGTTCATTTAAGATTATTAATATTTTTATTTATAAATTATATTCATAAGAATGACATGATTGTTTTTCTTTAAGAAATTCATAAACTATACTTGCCAGCTCTCTTTACTCTTATCTTAATAATAAAACACTATGTGTAAAACCCTAAATTTATAAAAAAAACATATATAATAGTAACATAACATATATATATAAACAAACTATATTAACGTCATATAAAATATCAAAGTGATTTGTATATTATTCGAATGTATTAATTTATATATTTGATGCTATTTTATATATTAGTTTCTATATTTTATGATTGCTTGTCAGTAAAATAATTAGCTATTTATATATATAGCTTATATATATAAACAAACTAAAGGGATTTTCTCCTACCGATTATCACTTTTATACGTTTAAAAAAAAAATCTATTTTGCTATATAACTGGAGAAACAGCATAAATACGTTTAATAATTCGTTTTCATGTGTTCTACTAGTTTCTTTATGTTCATCAGTCTTATTTTTTAATATAGAAGATCGAAAATCATTAATAACATAAGTAATATATAGTTACATTTTTCAAAGTAAAATAATTTTGAAAATAATATTTTTTTAATTTTCAGTAAAATTATTTCAGTATATTCCCTGAGTTACATTTCAAATTGGGGAGAAATAATTCAAAAATCGAGTTAAAGTATGCTATATTTTACATATGTATACATTTTTTCTGAAGCAATGTGTTGTAATAATAATTTTTAATCTTTAGGAAGATATTTTCACTGTGTTCATTTGCAAATATTGAAAATAAATTTTCCATTGAGGTTTTAATTGTTTTTTTTGTTTGAGAATAAAGTAAGTTATTAATATTTTTGTTACTAAACTCCACTATTCAGTTCGAAATGTACATATTTCTTTTTATTAATTTTAGTCGTAAAACTTTTATACAATGCATCTTCCATTGAGCATAAATGATGTCGAAGACTTCGTTAGGTACTTGAAAGCGCAAAATGTTCCTCAATTTAATATATTGGCAGACATTTTGTACGAATCAAGAAATTTTAAGGTGTCTGAGAAAGGCATTAAATATAAAGATGCATTAAAAACTCCCGTGACGCTTGATATGATTAGAAGTGACTATGAAATTTATAAATTTGAAATACGTTCAAACGTATACAATTTATTGTTTGGGCAAAAAAACTATTTGAAGTTTTAATTTTTTTTATTCTATATTATCACATAATGTAAACAATGAAATTATGTACTCCATATGCACAACTGATGATTGCATACGTGATATGGTATATGATCAAGATAGTTTTACAATAAAATATATTATAGATCAAATATCCATTAATCAGAATAGTATGTACTATTTAATTTTTAATTTTCCATTACGTTCAAATGTCATTATTGTGATAATCAATTATTTAAATGGTTCATTTAAAAAAACTTATGTATATAGTATTTCTTTTTTTAAATTTTTTAATTAGTTAATTTAAGAGAAACTAACAATCATTTATTTTAGAAATGATTTATATAGTAACATGTTACCAAAAAAATTGGAATATTATAGTCTAGTAGTAGCACACACAATGATGTGGGAGATCGTGTCAAGTGGAAGTTTATGATAAGGGTGGCAGACCCCAAGTAGTTGGGATTAAAGCGAGGAAAAAGAAGAAGAAGAAGTAGTAGCACACACAAATAGAGTAAAAAAATTATTAAATTACAAAGTAAAATGATTTAATTTTGTAATTGAAACCTATCATATCAAACTTGATTCGTCAATAAATACTCTAAAAACATTATAAATGAATGATTTTAATTGTTTGTATGGAGAACATGGGAAAAGTAACTGTTTAATTGATAAATTAGAATATTTTTCCAATTTTTGAGGGTATATCTTCAATATTCCTTGATCTTTATTGAAATTATTGAATTTAAATGAGATAAAATCAAAGGAGTTGAAAATTTATTTTAACTTAAAAAGAATTAAGAAAAAAATGCAAAAATTCCTTGCCTTACACGGATTGAAACCTTGTACCCCAAGCGCGTAAAACACAAGTGTTACCGACTCAGCAACCGTAAATTTAAACCGTCGACTGAAAAAAAATGACAATTTTAAGCTAGTTCAAATTTCAAAGTTATATTATTGACTTAAAAATTAAAATAAGCTTAACTTTCTATGCTATATCAATTTGATTTATATAATATTTATGAAAATCAGTGTACTCGCCTTGTAAGGTATTTTAAAATAAAATAAAATACAAAACCCAAAATTTTAACACAAAAATAGCATATTTTTGAATACGGTAGTGTTTTTCACCATGAAGACAAATCCAGAGGTCAAATTTTTTTTTTTTAAATTAAAGTATATTACATATGCTTTAATTTAAGGTATATATAAAAGTGTCAGTCTTTCCAGAACATTTTCAAAAGTTAAGTTGAAAAAGTCAATTAAAATAGTTACCATTTTGAAACCTTTCCTGTGAGCTGGTAAAGGGCCAAATGTTCACAAAAATATATCATGATGGGTAAATAAGAAAATTAGCGATTTTTAAATTTATAATTTTTTGGAAGATTTCTCCCATTTACGGGGAACGAGGGAATTGTTTTCAATTTTTGAGGGTAGTGTCTTTGATTAGATACGATTTGTGATCTGTTGACGTATTGTTGAAAGAAATCGGTTAGGTGAGATCTGAGAAAATGTGGTAACAGACACAAAAAGAATATATCTTTATATCTTTATCGTCAATTTGTTAGTAATACATTTCCTACACAATATTTATTGTGCCCAGTGTAGCTGGGTAATTTTACTGGAATCAGTAACCTACCTGTAAGGATAGCTCAAAAAACCTAATGCACATAGGAGCAAGAGGGCTCCAGGGCACCGGATCTGAGCCAGAGCCCCAGCTAGGCAAAGCATAGTATTTATTATTTATTATACCTATAAATTTAATTTATTTTACGAATATTAAATTAATAAGCATTAAATAAAAATATACAATTAAATAATTAACAAATAATGAAATTTATTTTTCCTAAAAAAATATATTGTATAAAATTTAAAAGGAATTTTACTTAATTTCATAATAAAAATTTATCACAATTTTTTCCTTAAAGAGAATAGAATTTTAAGATTGTTTTGTTATAAGTTCTTGCTCTCGTACCAACATTGACTCTTTACGATGTTCTCTTTGTAATGCTTCTCTCTGTTTAGCCACACGCAAGACATTTGCCCTTTTCTAAATAAAATGAAATTATAAATATTAAATAGTAAATAGTAAAAAATTTCCAAAAATAATAACGCTAAATATGACTCCATTTTGATTTCTATTTTTTAATATTAATTACACTGTATATCAGTAATAAGTTGTCTAGGTATTTTATAAAAAAAATTTTCTTTATTGTTATAATTTATTCAGTATGTCAAGAGAAAATTTGGCAGAAGTATATTTTATAAGTATATATGAATTAATAATTTTTGAAATTATCCTTATCCTTATATTCCTTATCCTAAACTTCTACTTGTCACAATCTCCCACATCATCTACACTAACATCAGCTGTCCTCATATCGCATTCAATAACATCCCTTTATCTCTTTTTTGGTCTTCCTAAACCTCTTCTACTTCAACATATATTTCTATAACTGTTCTTACATCTTTTGATTACTCTTTCCTCATATTATGACTAACCATCTAAGTCTATTTTCTCTTATCTTATCCACAATTGATGCTATACCTCTACTCTTTCTTATATGTTCGTTCCTTATCCTATCTTCTATAGTCACTCCTCTCTATCTAAGTATTCTTATCTCTGCTACACTCATTCTTTGCTCTACTTCCTCTAACACTCTGAACCACCATACATCGTAGATGGTCTCACTACAGTCTTATGGAACTTTTCAGCCTCATTGGAATTCCATAACACACCACGAGATACTTCTTTCCACATCCACTACGACTTAATCCTGTGTTTTACATCCTCATTAATACCACAGTTTTTTTTACCCTTTGAACTATTAAGCTTAAAAAAAAAGCACTCCCATATTGTATGTTTAGACACTGAAGTCATATTACATTTCTATAAGGTATCTTTTTCAGTTATACATGATTTTTTATCTAGAGAATTATATTTTAATATTAATTACATTTATAAACTTACTTCCATTGATATGGTTTTTCTATGTAAAAAAATTAATTTCTTTTTTAATTCAGTAAGTTGTAGATAACAATTCTTTATTGATGTGAACTACAACAGTTAATTTTATAATTATCTAAAACTAGTAATTATTTTTTAATTTTTACCATATCTTGAACATCACATTCATTTAATAGGACTGATAATTCTTCATTTTCTTTACTTAGTTCATTTATTAAAGATTCTTGCTTTTCCCTAAAATTATAAAAATATTTATTAGAAATTATAGCAGAAAATTTCTTTTGATTATATAAAATTATGATTAATTTATAAAATAGGCCTAGACTTGGAGCATTTAAATAGTTTACAGATTTCTTTAGGTAATTTTTATGAGAAAATATTTTATATATCTAACAATAGATAAGTAATCTAGTAGATAATATCTTACACATACTTGTAAACATTTTACTAGTGCTATAAATTGATATGACTAAACTAATAATAGATATTTAATTAAAGAATAATGTTTTGTTTTTTAAAAAACACCAGGTGGTAAATTAAACTAATAAAAAGGGGATATAATTTAAAAATTTGCTAAATTGAAAAGTTAATAAAATATTTAAATTTTGTAACACATTCTTTTTTTTTAATCTGAAGCTTTGACAGCTAAGCCATTACTTTATAAAAAAAACTGAAGAACTTGAGCACATGTTCAATTTTGGTCAAATTACTTTTTTGTGTAATAGAAAAAAATAATCTGCATTGATTAGTGCAATAACCAGATACGTTCAATTTTTATATATAAAGTTGTAATACTAATAGATACGTTTTCAAAAATTAATCACAAAACATGTCCATACATTTTTTTGTCTTCTAAAAAGTTGGACGTGTCTTATAGTTGCTCCCAGATCTTCAATTGTAAGCATACATTAAAATTTGAAATTCACACTACATAATAATAATGCAATATTAGAAACTTTCAAATTATTAACATTACTTACACATTAATGGACACATATGATCTTAGTAATCATTTCAAGGTTACATGACAATTGAACTTCCTCTATCATTTGGTACCATAGTAAATATTACTACTATAGAAGTAGTATCCATCAAAGTGTTAAATATGATTTATAAGTGGGACAAATTATTAGTAAAGGATAGTTACTTACACAACATCTTTGAGTTCTGTTTGAACATCTTTTAAATCTGGACTCAGTTGATTAACGTACGAATTAATTAGAAATAAACCCGCCGAGATATTTGAACTAAAGAACATTCATTATTATTATTATTATTACTTTTAAGTATATTTGTAATTATATAGAAAACATTAAATAAAAATTTGATATTAGACTTACTCCGAATGATTTTCTACAAATGCTGTTTCGGTTGTACAATTTTCTGCCATTACTTAAAATATCCTAAAAGTTAAATAATTATTAATAGTTTAAAAATTAATTTAATATAATAATAATATTTTATGGTTTAATATTTTAATTTGTAATATTAAAGAAAGAAAGTTAAGAAAAATATTATATATTTGATATTATAGTCTATTACTGACGACTCCATAAATATTATCATTCAAATAAATAAATATTAATTGTAGCTTTGGGCTTATCACATCAACGATAAACCCACAGCGCTACATAAAGTTGTGATAATAGTTTATAGTTACCTGTCTAGTAATATTTAATTTTCTTATTATAAAATTTATTAAAACAATGTTTAACTAAATATTATACACTATTTTCACTGTTTATCATTAAAATTTTTTCATTTTATTTATCATTAATAAATTGTATTCTTAATTCAAATTAAGTTTTTATGAATCAGTAATTTACTAAATGTATTTTTTAATTATGTTATGATAAATACTCTTAATTAGTTATAGTTATTTAACTAATATACTTTGTATAAGTATATTTTTAAGATTAGATTTAAATATGGAAAGTAATTTTCTTACGTTAAATGAAGATCCTGTTCAATTTGATCCAGCAAGTGTTAGCAAAACGACAAATGTTTTCTATGATGAAGTTACAGAACAAGTAATAAATTACTGGGGTTTATAGGGAATTTACATTTTTAATTATATCTATGTTCATACTAAATGATATATTTGAAAGTAGAGATTAGTTAAAATCTTATAATATGATATTTGTTTGTTAACTATTAATTGAAAATAAAGAATTATTTTTTAAATGGTGAATTTTTTTACTTCAATTAGCAATTTCTCACAGTAAAATAATAGTAGGATAATTTTTTTTTTAATGTTGAAATACACATCAAGAACTTTATTTTGATAGAAATTAAAAAGTGATAGTTGTTTCAATTACATTTTTTTTAAAAATGAAATTTTTGTTTTTTTCGTTATTTGGAAATATTTTTATAAATTTCTAAATTGAGGGAGTTTTTTGAATTCTCAATGCTGATTAGTACAATCATATTAAAGTCAGGTTCATTTGAGTATTATTTATTAAAATCGGTTAACTGAGAGTTGAGAATTTTCATGGATAGAGAAGAAGAAAACACCATTACAAAACCAATACCTTCTCAGCTTCGCATCAAAGCTAAAAAAAAATAAGTACTTAATTCCAGTAGCTATGCATAACTAAAATTTATGGATAGGCTAATTTGTGTTACTAAGGATTAGTTGAACTCAAGGAGATGGTTAACTTTTTTTTTATGCTCATTGCTTCATGAATTTATATTTAAATACTGCCCCTCATTTTCAGCTATCATTTTTTTAACGTCTAGTCAGCACAGGCCTTATAATAAAGACCAACCCTTTCCCTATGATAAAATTCGTTATGTGTTGTAGATACAAGTTTGAGGGGATAATTGTAATATCCTTATACAGGATGATTTCACTATTAGACACTCAATTTTTCTTATAATAATAATATAATTAAACAAATATCTTTTAGTTTCATATATTTCTCAATTTATTAATCATTATGTATTTATTTTTAATTTATCATTTATACCTTATATGGATGTCAATTTTATTTATTTAAATGGCAACATATATATTTAACTAACTTATAAAATAAATATGTTCTTACTAAGAAAATAACTAGTCAATAACAACTTTTGAAATAATATTTGGGAAGTTATTAACATTTTTAAATATAGAGTGAAAATGAGTTGTGGGTTATGTTATTTTCATCATTATGCATTATTCTGTCACACTGTTTCTCTATATTTAAAAATATTAATAACTTCCGAAGTATTATTATATCATTTTTAGTGGAGACATAGAGGCCTGTAGTCCTCTATATTATACTAATAAAGAAATGTCTGTTTTCTTTTTTTTTTTACTCATAATCTGAGAAAAAATTACCATAAAGTTTTTTTTGTGGCAGCTTATCAATTGAAAAAAAATTTTTATGATCCTCTCATCTACTATACATTTTTAATAGCACCCCTACTCATGATTTAAAAATAAACTTGTGTGAAGATATAAAAAAAAATTACAAATAAATTTTCAGCAGCCCATTCATAAAATTGGATAGTTCATATGGACATTGTTGGCTTGTTCTTTGAACAAGTCTCTTGGCTAAGCCCTTAACTCCATCACATGATCTTTTTCCATGAGCAGTAACGGAAACTTAGTATTACAAATATTATAAGATATAATACAACTATATAAGAAATATTATAAATTTTGTTTTTAGGTGTTTTAGAAAATAAACTTAATATTCATGATTTTATATCTTTCAATTTATTTTATCTCTAATTATATAATTATTTTTGTTTAGTGGATTAAAACACATTGTAATTTAGTAAATTTTAATTTGTTTTTTATTATCATGCTTATTTCATAAATAAATCAGAACGCCAATACATTGATTTTTATGAATAATAAAGAAATATGTTCAAAAGACAGAGAAAATATTATCAGTATACACATAGATAATATAGATAAAAATAAATATATTTAAAAAACCTTTTAACCGTAAATAATATTTGGGAAGATTTTTTCAAAATTAATTTGATTCACTACCAAGCTTTACATTCAAATTCATTTCTTGAAATTTGAAATTATTCATATCCAGTTCACTCAAAATGAATAAGTGTAAATAATGACCAATTTACATATTATTAAATTTACTACTTGTTTTAAATTAAAATATTTAATATTTGCCCGATCAGGTGCAAATAAAAATATAATAATATAATACAATTACTATATGTTATTGTAATATTATATAAGATTATCAAATAAGGATAAGACACTCATTTTTCAGAAACATTCACAATTGAATTTTTTTTTATTTTTGTAAAGGAGAATATTGTTTGATTATAGGAACTATATTAATATGTTGTTATATAACTTTTACCCTTTAAAGAATAAAAACCTAAAGAAAATTAAAATTTAGGTTCTTAACTTTGAAGAGATGAAAAAAAACAATTATGCAACTATATATAATTGTAAAGTTTTTTGATTCAAACAATTATTGCCTTTACTATATTTTTATTAGTTTCTAAGAAAATGAATATCTTATACTTAATTGACTATTCGGTAAACAATTAAATTATAGTATGATGTATAAATATTCTTACTATCATTTATTTACTTATTTTAAAGTAATTTTACAAAAATAATAATTTATTTGTATATTGTATCCGAAACTTCTTTGAATATTAAAATAATATATTTTCTATATAGATAATAACTGTTCTTTCTGGAGAGATGACAGAAGTAATTGTAACATCTTGTACTCGTTGTAGAGAAAATATGATTTTTAAAATTGAAGATTGTGGCCCAGTATCTTCAATAAAAATGTCTATGAATCTTAATATTTTAACCATGATGCGTACAACATTATCTATTGTAAGTATTGTTTATTAATATCTGATATATGTAATATTATTCATATTTGCAAAGAAAAATTATGATTTTATATTAAGGAGTTTTAACTTCTTTTAAAACCTTTTTAAGTCTACTTATTTGTCAGTTGTTATACATGTGTTTATTGCTTATTATAAAAAAATTATAGGAATTAATGGATGTTAAAGACAGTAATATTGGTGCTCCATATTTTTTGTACTGTAAATTTAAAGCTGCAAAACTTTTGGGCTTCATTTGGACTTGCAAAAATGAAATATTATTAGTCAGTGACAAGGGAGTCGAATTATATCAGGTAATTTATTAATGATTATTATTTTTGTTTTCAATGTGTTAAATCATAGTATTTGATAAAAACAATCATTTAAATATTTTGGACAGATTTTTGTAATTGAACAAATCATATACTGAACTTACAGATAACTTGTTTGATTATAAATATATCATAATAACTTTTATTTGGTTTTATTTATTTAGTTTTATTTAGTATATAACTTGTAACTATATCTTAAGCATAATTACAGCATTCTAAAAATTTATTACATTTATCAATATGCCTATATAATAGTATTTTTAATGTGAATTGCCCATTCAAAATATGAAAAATTAAAAAGAGGAACAATTTAAAATTTTATATATCACTCTTTTTTTGAATATTCTCACAAATATTTTAAGAATAAATGTAGACGTTATGAGGAACCTATAATATAAAAAATAATTGCCCTCAGATAAATTGTTACCAAAACCTAGCACTTCAAAATACAGAAATTCATTTTGTTACACTCTGCATGTATATGTCACTGGAAAATTATTAAAAATAGAATTAATTTACTGTTTTTAGGTTGACGGACAAGGTCCTAAACAACGAACAATTTTTTTAAAATCAATCAGTTTACATATAAACTGGTTTAGTTATTCGCCTTTAAACAAAATATTGTTATTGTCAACTAATTCTATTGGGGATTTTCAACCACTTCACATTCATCCTGGAACCATAACAAAGTTGCCTAAATTGGAAAGTATGTATTTAATTTTTGTAAAAAAAATGTTATGAAAATGATATAAAATTATATCTTCTAGTTGATTTTGATAACTCATGTAGTTTACCTAGCCAAGGTATAAGCGAAAGAAATATTGTGTTAACTAATGTTTATAGTGTGCTGAGAGTATTAGTTTTGCCAACAAATCAAAGTAGAAATGAAATAGTCATTTACACATTAAACAAGTATTATTAAATTTATACAAATATTATGAATTTTTATAATTATTAATTATTTTTTATAATACTTTAAAGAATGATGACTTTCAAAAAAAGTCATATTTTAAAGCTTAATTGCATTGGGAAAATTTTAGTTAACATTGTTGACAATTTGATCATTGTACATAATCAACACAATAAGGTTAGATACATCATAAAAAAATAAAAACTATTGGGTTTTATTATTTTTCTCTTAATATTTTTCAGTCATCTTCTATATTTGATATATATATGGAAGCAGCAAAAGAAAATACCATACCTTGTTATTTACCAATTTTGGAAAATATTGTTATTCAAAAAACATTTTCAAAAGAACAAGATGTACGTAAATTATCTGATATTTGTATCCTTTTAATAAAAATTAATAGAAATAACACCTACAGAAATATTATATTATTAATGTATAATTATTTTGTATAAATTATAATTCGTTTTAGTATAATATATTATTTTACAATATGATTTTGCCAAATTACAATGATTAAAAATTTTATTGAAGTGAAACTTCTTTATATAGTATCCAAAAAACAGATTATGGAGCGTCATGGTCCCACCACAGTCGGTTGTAACATTTTGCCATCATGATCGGCTGTAAAGTATATTTTATATTATAATTTAGCACTGTTTTTTCGAAAATTTTGATTGTGAATAAAAAAATTTTAATGAACCACAATAGATGCAATTTTCAAGTGATATCTTCATATCGAAAGAAGTTTCACTTCATCCGCGCGTACTCGTAACACGCACTGGTTTTTGGAAAAAAATAAAATGGAACTAGTTTAGTACTTTAAAACTAAATTACAGTAAGTTACATTTAGACAATTTTACAGGAAATCATAAAAACATAGAAATGTTACTTTTTTCAATCACTACAGAGATTAAAATAAAAGTTAACATGCTTATATTGTAAATCAGCATTAAAAAACAACATAGTTCAAATATCATTAATTTATTTTTCTATGTGAATTATATAAATTTATATAATTTCATAAAATTTACACAAAATTCTGTTGATATGATTGATGTAAAATTTAATTTTATGTAAAAAACCTGAAAATCATAATATTTAAACTTAGTCTATATGGTATAACATTCATATTTTGAAAAAGTATTGTTTTTAAAAATTACAATAGTATGTAGTTAAATAATTTTTTTCATTTCTGCGGGATAAAAATCCTTAACTATAAATTTCTTAAATGGGAATTGTTACATTAACTTTATGATATTATAGTAAAAAAATTACAATTAATTTTATTTTTATAATTCTTTTTATCCAATGAACCATTTGCATTTTAAGTTTGTTTAAAAATTTAAATATCAAGTAAAAATTAATCATAGATTTGGTTTTATAATACCGGTGACAGTAATAAGTTGTTTTTAAAACCATAAAAGTTATTTATTATGTTAGTTATGAAGTAATATATTCCACACTGATTGACCAACAATGTTCATTATCTTAGCCAATAAAAATAGTTTTATTTCACAGCATAGAGAAATAAAGTATTTTTAAAATGGTGAAATAATTTTGGTTTAAAATAACTTATTGTATAACATGTTGTAAAAGGTGAACAGATTGAACAAAAATTATAAGAGCAAAATAGTTTGTAATATTTTTATTCTGTCATAATTTTTTCAAATCGCTTTTTCGGCCCTTAATGGCCATAGCGGCCTCCTCCAAGAGGTTAAGACGTTTCTTAAACTATCATATTATCAAGTTAAAAATATAGGTTCCCGTTAAAGAAAATTATAATTAAAGCTTTTTATTCCTGAAATGTTGAAGAAAATTATTTAACAATATATTATAGAGATTTTTGAACCTAATATTTTTTCTCTTTACAAAAATTTAATATTCTCAATAGATTCAGGAAAATTAGTGTCTTACCAAAATTTGATTACTCTGTAATTCTGAAATATACAGTGGGTTTTATTTTAAAATTAATTAATGTAACATAATTCCTAAATGTTTCAATTTAGATTCTGTCATATGTATTTCATTTCAGCCAAATATTATAATTGATGCTAAATCTGGATATATGTGGTATAAATATTTTTTTTATTATCTTTATTGCACTTATAATTAATGCTATAGTAAATATAACCAACCCAACCAATATAAATTTTAAACATTTTCTTTTTTCTTAAAATTGTTTTAATGTTTATTTTTAGGCGTTTAAATTTAAACTTAGATGATATTTCAAAATGGATGAACAATAAATGTTCTCTTATAGATTTCCTTTTATTACGAACCACATCAAAAGAGACCATAATGCAGGTATGTCATTTTACAGATTTAAGTTCTTCCTTACTATCCTTAAATTTTATTTTATTAAAATTATTTATTGTATGCAATTCTGTGTATACAAGGTGATTGATTAACTATGCCTCACACAATATCTTCAAAAATACAAAAAATTGATGAAAATTTCTATCTAAAAATTGATAGATTTTATAATGCTACAAATAGCATTTATTACATACTACAATTAATAATATTAATAAACAAAAACCCAGCACAGTGGGGACGTGGCATAGTTGGGTCAAGTGTAATGATTTGACAGTGATTAAAATCACTATCATAAAAAACGCTTCAATGCAAATCTGTAGATAGTATTTAATTTTAAAAAATTGATGGATTATTCCAAAAGCTATATGATCTCCTATTTTCTTATTTATATCCTGATTACAAGTTTTATGTTTTATAAGTACAATATATATATATTTAAAGGGAAATGGTTTTATTTTAAAAAAAAGTATGTCAAAAGGAAAAGGTATCGTAAGATAGTATTTATAATAAAAAAATTGTATTGATCCATACATTTTTCTAAAAGTTATAGTATTATAAAATTAAAAATATAAAAAAGAATTTTTTTACAAAAATATTATTTTTTTATTAACTTTGATGTACGTTTTCACCATTAAAACAAAATAAAGTCTGAAATTTTTTTTTCCATAATAAAGTATATTACATAGGCTTTAATTTAAGGGGTATATTAAAGTGTCAGTATTTCCGGAACACTTTCAAAAGTTAAGTGGAAAAAGTTGTCATGTTGAACCCCCCTGTCAGCAGGTAAAGGGTCAGATTTATAAAAGAAATATATCAAATTATACATAAAGACATCATGTATTTATATAAAAAAAAAATTAAATAGATTTGGTCATTTTTTTATTAAAAGTTAGGGCAGTTTGAAGTAAAAATAATTGAAAAAATGTCGAAAATTAGCAATTTTTAAATTTATAATTTTTTTAAAGATTTCCCCTATTTACAGGGAACGAGAGAAATTTTTGAGGGTAATGTCTTTGATTAGATACAATTTGTGATCTTTTGACGTATTGTTGAATGAAATCGGTTAGGTGAGAGCTGAGAAAAAGACACAGACACAAAAAAAAATAAAAAAAAAAACAGTAAAATTATTTTTGTCATTTATGCTTTTTAATACAGAATTATAAATTTAATTTATAATATACCATATTTTTCCTTTTCGTGGATAATATTATTAAGTGAATTAATTTCACTATTTTTTCTTATAAATACTTTTTTAAAAACAAAAATTTAGTACTCTTATGTCAACCATATACTTATTAAAACTGTTATTTTTTCAATTTTAGGTTTTGCAAGAAATAATTGTAGAAAAAAAATGTGATATGATAGAAATAGGAAATGTTTTTGACCATTTAAATATTGTTTATAAAAAACATCTTAACACTCATGTAAGAGTGAATAGTTCGTTATCAAGTGATTTTATGATTGTTGCTGAATCATTAAGGTGTAAAGTTGTTGTAGAACAGTTTGATATTTATAAAAATGTTTTTGTCAAACTAGTTGACCATTTGGAAAATATTAAAAGTAACAAAACATTTAGCCTATTGTTTTATACACCTTATATATTTTAAAACAACAACCTTGTTATATGAAATAATTGTAGATCTCAAAATTAAGAGAAATATTATGAGACGCTCCTGAAAACTTTTTTTTATTGAATTAGTAAATTTTGATTTTTCAAAACCTTTTCATATTCCTCAAGTTATTTATTCATTTACATTTAAATGTTACCCCTTACTTTCGGCGATTTGTTTTACCCAGACCTTACATATATTTTCATATGCTGAGATTCCTCATATTCTCTTAATCTTAAATTAATAATGTCTCAAAAAGTAATTCTTCAAAATTTGACTAATCAATTTCCCAGTAATTTAGTTATAATTTTTTTTTTTAATATTAAAGGTTTTATCTAAAAATACATTCCTTAAGACTACTCAAAAATAATAAATTTGTGGTGATTATGGTTTATAAAAATCTAAAATAAGTTCATTCAATACATTTTTTAATGACAAAATAGAATGTGTAGTAAATCTTTCTGTTTATTTATAAAATATTTTAATTTGATTAAAAATTCATTTCAGGTGATAAAAAGTATGCCGTTTTCATATTAATAGAATATATGAGATCATTAACTGATAACAAAATTACTATTGAATACTTTCTGTATGAGCTAATTATAAACTGTCTTATAATGAATAAAATGTACTATCAATTACATCAAATGATTCAATATCATATTTTTGTTGATTCCAAACCATTGGTTAGTATAGTTATTAGTTATTATAATAATACTGTTAATACTTTACTCTATAATACAGATTTGGTTAAAAGTGCATAAAAAAACTATAATTTATTTTAATACCACTTTGAGCAAAGAAAAATAAAACTGTTAATTTCCATAATATTCATAATTGAAATAAAGAAACTTAATTTTTGTAAAGAAAAATTTTTTCCCTCTATTAATCCTTTATTTTGTCCTCTAAATTATTTATAATTTTTATTATCTTTTGATGTATTATTAAGTTAATAAATTTACACAATTAACCCAAAAAAAAGAAGAAGAAAACCAATGGATTCTTAACCATACATCGAAATTAATATAGTTTATTTTTAATTTTGATAAATTTTTCAACCTAAAAATCCTGGATAATCTTCTATTGACAATAATGTATTAAAATGTAAAATGTAATGCAAAATATGATGTCCAAGTCAATAATGCTATTTTATATCATTTAGAGGACAAAAAAATATATTATTTTTTTTTAAATACTTAAGTGCCCCCTATTTAATTAGTATTTTGTTATAAATATCAAAATATCTCTTTTTGTTTAAAATATTGTCACATAAATAATAGCTTAATTTTGAATAAAATAGAGATATTATTTAAATTCTAGATACTTACACATATATTTTTAAGGTCTATTACATTTTCGCCCTACACAAATAATGTACATTTGATCACATACAAGGTGTCTTATATATAGAGTGATCAAAATCTTATAAGATACTCATTTTCTCAGAAACCATTCAGAGTATTAAATTTATTTTTCCAATCAACAATTCGTCTGTTACAGCTTGTTAAAGTTAAGTAATTTTTGGCCAAATTTCTATTATTATTTTACTCTTAAATACAGAAGTCACTTACAATAAGTTGGTTATTTTTTTCTAGCAAAATATTCTCTAGAAATAATTTATATATTAAACAACGTTTGTTGGGTTAGCTAGTTTAACTATTTATTGTAGAGTTTTTTGTACCTAATATTTTTTTTCATTACAAAAGTTTTAAATTCTCAATAGTTTCTAAGAAAATGAGTATCTTACCAAAATTAGATCACTCTGTACATTAAAAAACAAAAATTGTAAGAAAATACTCTTTAAAATTAAAAAATAAACTAGTTTTTAAAATTAAAAATTTATTAATGTGGTGTTTAATGATACAAATTACTTCAAATTGTATTAACTTCTATTTTAAATATTATTATAAATATTTGTGTATGTTTTCAGGCTTGTTTATTATTATCACTTGAAACACTTTATCCTCCTGCCTATCAAATTGCTTTAGATATGTTACATAGACTCAATACAGCTCATGAAGAAATTGCTGAAGTTCTATTATCAAAAAAAGAAGTCATTCCTGCTATAAGGTATCATTAAGTCTATTTTTTATTTTTAGTTAAGTTCTAAATTTGTGTAAAAAGTTTATAACTTACAAACATTTCTAGCTGCACTAGATATCAAATGCTTAAAATAAATCAAACTTAATTTTAAAAAATATTAATACGTGTCTGGGAATATTTAGAACTAATTACTTCTCTATAGAGCACAAGTATAAAAATCCAGCACAGTGAGGACGTCGAATAGTTGGGTCCAGTATAGATTTAATCTGGCAGTGATTAAAATCACTAACATAAAAAATGCTTTGATGCAAATCTGTAGATGGTGTTTAATTCTAAGAAATTGGTGGATTATTCAAAAACAACATCAATTTCTATTTCCTTAATTATATCCAGATTAATAATTCTTTGATTAAAAAATATAATATATAATTTTTATAATTAATTGTTTTCAAATTATTATTGATTTTGATTTTTAATATGTTAAAAGTAATAATTTTTAATCTACTTATTTTTGACCTTTAAAATGAAAGTTTATAATAAAAAAAAAATGAATTTATTACTATAACTTTTAGCTCAATTAAAAGATTGAAATCGACAACATTAAATAGAAAAAAAACCCAGCACAGGGGGGTCGCGGCACAGTGGTGACGTGGCATAGATGAATCAAGTATAATGATATCTGACAGTGATTAAAATCACTATCAAAAATAAACGCTTCGATGCAAATCTTTAGACTGTGTTTAATTTTTAAAAATTTATGTATTATTCCAAAAGCTACATGATCTGAGTTCATTATTAATATCTTAACTAAGATAAAGTATGTCGAATGAAAAAGGGATTATTAAAAAATATTATTTCTCATTCGGTAGCTATTTTCACCGTGAAGATAAAATAAAGTCCGAAATTTTTTTTTTTCATAATAAAGTAAATTACATTAGCTTTAATTTAAGATATATATAAAAGTGTCAGACTTTCCGGAACACATTAAAAAATTAAGTTTTTATGTTTTGAATCCTCCCTGTATTAAGGAAAATGGTCCGATTTAAAAAAATAGTATGTCGAATGAAAGATCTATATAAATACTACTTCTCATAAAAAAATTGTAATGATCCATACATTTTTCAAAAAGTTATAGCATAATAAAGTTAAAAATGTAAAATACAAAATCGAAAATTTTCACACAAAAATAGCATTCGGTAGCCATTTTCACCGTGAAGATAAAATAAAGTCCGAAATTTTTTTTTTTCGAATTAAAGTATATTACATTATCTTTAATTTAAAATATATATAAAAGTGTCAGACCTTCCGGAACATTTTCAAAAATCAAGTTGAAAAAATTAATTTTTTGTGAAAAAGTTGTCATTTTAAATCCCCCCCTGTGGGTAAGTAAAGAGTCATATATAAAAAAAATATATACCAAATGAAAGGTAATGATACCATAAATCTATATAAAAAAAAATTATATTGATATGTTCATTTTTGAAAAAGTTATGGCACTTTAAATTAAAAAAAATTGAAAAAATTTCGAAAATTAGCGATTTTTAAATTTGTAGTTTTTTTGGAGGTTTCCCCCATTTACGGGGAACGAGGGAATTTTTTTTAATTTTTGAGGGTAATGTCTTCGACTAGATACGATTTGTGATTTTTTGACGTATCATTGAAAGAAATCGGTTCGGTGAGAGCTGAGAAAAAGTGGTAACAGACACAAAAAAAAAAAAAACAGCTTAGTAAAACCAATACCTTCTCAGCTTCGCATCGAAGCTAAAAATGGTATTGTTAAGATTAATATGCAGTCAGGAAATTTTATAATTACTATTTACAGTAAATTTATCAGAAAAACTCGATTTTTTGCATTTTTTATTGTAATACATCACTTAAATAGAAATCATAAAATCATTTTTAATTAACTTTAGGTATTTAAAAAGATTATACAATTGAAGTATACAGAAATGAATAAATTTTAATGATTTATTTTAACTAAAAAAATCAAACAAAAAGTTGTTAAAAAAATCTAATCAATTATGGGTGTATTATAAAATTTGATTATAATTGTAAAAATTCATTGTTAAATTCAGGTGAAACTAAAAATATTTTTTTTTTAGATTTATGATTTATACAGCAACAAAAAATTTGGAATATTATAGACTGTTAGTAGCACACAAAAATAGAGTTAAAAAATTAATAGATTACAAAATAAAATTATTTACTATTGTAATTGAATACTTTTATTACATCAAACCTAATTCGACAATAAATACTTTAAAAATATTAGAAATTAATGATTTATAATTGTTCGTATGGATAAAGCTGGTTATGCTTTATTTTTTATTTGATTATTTTTCAATTTTTGAGGATAATATCTTCAACTAAATACGAATTGTAATCATTTGACGTTTAGTTGAAAAAAGTAGGTTAAGTGAGGGCTGGAAAAATAAATCGCAGCCACAAAAAAAAAACATATAGTAAAATATTATTAACATGAATAAGAAATTTCTTCTCGCGGGAGAGACTACAATGATGGTATCCTTGATATTTATTGAAGTTATTGAATCTAAATGAGATGAAAATCAAATTATTTGAACATTTTTTTTTTAACTCAAAAAGAAATATGAAAATAAATTGCCACATGTGACTTCGAACCTCGTAGCCTAAGCATGAAAGACAAGTGTTACTGATTCGACAATTGTTTATTGCTTTCGGTCGTTTGATAAAATTAGCAATTTAAGCTATCGCATTTTTACCAAAAACAAAATCTATATTTCGATTTTTTTTTCCATAATAAAGTATACAAAGTGATCAAAATCTGGTAAGACACTCATTTTTTCAGAAAATATTGAGAATTTTAAATTTTATTATAGAGAAAAAATATCAAGTTCAAATAACTCTACAATAATATGTAGTCAAACCGTTATTTTTTTCATCCCTTCAAGGATAAAACCCCTTATTTATAATTTTTTTAAATGGGAACCATTATTTTTAACTTTATAATATGATATAAAAAAATTACAAACAATTTTGTTATTATATATTTATAATTTTAGTTATCCGATTAACCGTACGTCCGTTACAGCTTGTTAAAGTTAAGTGATTTTAGTCCAAATTTCTATTGTGATTTTACTGTATTAAATACAGAAGTCATTTTTTTTATTTGCTGTTGCATAAACCAAATTTTATTGATCAAGTTATGACAGGTAAATTAGTTATAAAACTTTACTACACACTAAATGAATGATTACAATAATAGATTTAAACCGGGTTTTCGGTGTATTATTAATAGCTAAGTCTATGGTTTTGTAAGACTAAAGAATCTAACAAAAATACCGCTTACACTGCCACAGATATTATGAAACGTAATAAATGACATTATTTTTTCTGGAAGTCAAAATTATTAAACAATTATAGAACGTAAACGGTTGTTCGAATAAAAAAAATTATAAGAACAAAATTGTTTGTAATTTTTTTTTCTATCATATTATCACATCAAAAACAGTGGTTCTCATTTCAAAAAATTATAAATAAACATTTTTATCCCTGAATTATAAAAAAAAAATTTATTTAAATTCGTATTATTGTAGAGTTTTATAAACTTAATAATTTTTCTTTTTACAAAAATTTTAAATTCTCAATAGTTTCTGAGAAAATAAGTGTCTTACCAGATTTCGATCACTCTGTAAATATAAGCTTCAATTTAAGATTAAATAGAAGTGTCAATATTTCTGGAACATTTTCAAAAATTAAAGTGAAAAAGCTTATGTGCAAAAAATGCTTTTTTGAATCCCCCCTGTGGGCAGGTTTAGAGTCAGATTTTCAAAAAATTTATATAAAGTTTCAAAAAAAAAATTATGCTGATTTGTTCATTTTTGAACAAAGAGAAAAAAAAGTAAAAAATTACTGCTTTATAAAATTGTAATTTTTTTGGAGATTTCACCCATTTACAAAGAATGAGGGAAATTTTTTCAATTTTTAAGGGTATAGTCTTCAACTAGATACGATTTGTGATATTTTATTAATCGTATCGTTGAGAAAAATTGATTCAGTGAGAGCTGAAAAAAGTTGTGACAGACATAAAAAAAATAAAAATAAACACATCATGGTAAAATTAATACCTTCTCAGCTTCGCATAGAAGCTAAAATTTGGACAAAATGCGAATAAATATAGAGGTTCCATTTCTAATTCAATTAAAATATTCAGTTAAAAAAGTTGTAATTAAAGAAATTTGGAAAAGACCTCTGAATATAAAGATTTTAATGCAGCTGCATTCTTAGCATTTCCTATAGGAATAGATTAAGATTGACAAAAACCACGATTTTTAAAAAAAAATCAACCTAAAACTTTTTTATTAACCTATTCTCTGGCAGTTTTATCAGTCTTAATAATAATTATTTTTATAACATAAATTTTTATATTTTTTTAATTGATAGTTCCAAAAATATATTTCAAAGTAAAACAAATAACTTTAAACGTCGCATTAATGCTAAAATTGATTAGACTACTAGTTTTTTATCCTTAAACAAATTTACAATAAAACAAGTTTAAAAAAAAATTGTCTGGATTTGCCTAAAAAAAACCTGTTTTTTTTTCAATTTTGGAACAGATGTATTTACCCGGGTTCATTAAATCTAAAACATCTTCCCAAAATTTAAATAATATGTACAGTTTTATTTAGTTTTTAATAATTTTAAATATTAATTGTACTAGTTTTTGTATTGTAAATGATGTAATACATAAACTAATTTTTGTCCTATTTTTACATGTGCATATAGATTTATGTCTAAATACAAAATGCTTGACTACTCAACTTATAGAAAATTAACAGAAGTAGCAGTTTCCACTAATGATTCTAAAATTCTTCATTCTACTAAAGAAGAATTTCTGAAGACAATCTAAGGAATATGATTAGGTTTTAAAATCAAATTAAATATTTTATACACAATTGTTATTCTATATAAATTTTTAGTTATGTTTGTGTTATTATTATTTTGTAATATTTACAATGTATTATAAAAAATTAATTGCTTATATAATAAATATTTCATTTTTTTAATGATTTTATTCAAGCATCAAAAGGTTTGATATAGGTTTGTTTATTTTTATGCAATAATATAAAAATTAAATGTATCCTTTTTGTTTATCTTAGAAAATTTTTTTTGTCCTCTGATGAATCTTATAGTCGTATTTTACAAAAAAAGTGTTTAATAAAACATTGTGAAATATTTTCTCTGTTATACCAAAGTACTCATATTGACAATTTATCTTTATCTGTAATATTCATAACATTGCAGTCCTTATTTTCACCAAGCCAGTATAAAAGTAAAAAGACTCAGTATTATCATTAAATATTGGCAAGACATTTTGTAACATGAAATATTTATATAAGAAATTTTAAAAAAATTTGGGAGCTAAACAATACACATTTTTGAACAAGTTCACAAAATGTTCAATAACATTGATATAATAAACATACATACCATAAGAACTAAATATTTATTTTTTATTTATGATATACTTATATTTTAAAAATAAAATAAAAATAAATTACATTTAGCTAAAGTAATACCTTATCAATATCCATTTTATTTTATTTTAAATCAACTTTTTAAGAAAAATAAATGCAAAAATAATGATAATAATTATAACAATAATAAATAATAACAATTACATTTAATGAATCTATTTCTAAGACAGCTTCAATAATTCAAAATTAAGACCTGAAAATCAAATTTAAAATATTACTTTTTTTTTAATTAAAATTCATATTTAAATACCTTATTTTAGTATTGACAATAACAATAACATTATGTTACAAAGCAATATCATTCTATTAAATCTACATTATAATATTTTAGATAACTCTTCTAAAAAATTATATAATTTGACTTAAATTATTTTTTTTTTTTATAAATGTAATATGTGATGTCGAATAAGAATAACTTACTAATATAAAACTTTCTCAGAAAATATTAAAAAATTTTAATTTTTGTAAAGAAAAAAATTGTTTAATTAAAAAAACTCTACAAAATATATAGTTAAATAAATTTTTAATAGGTGAGCCATTTTTCTGTTATTGCTAGTTAAAATTTGGCGATTTTTAACCAATTGTCTGTTAATAATATGTTATTTAGCATACAATAGTTGTCATTTCTTCATGATGTCTCATAAACAAATTTTTATTAACCATTCTCGTTATCATATGTCACCTACTATAGCATGAATGATGATAATTTATGGCTAATTAAAACAGATTATTTTTGCTTTCGGTATTCAGAAAACCAAATTAACAATGAATTTCTATTTTAAATTTTAATATTTAAACAACTTTAAAATCCAATCGTTTGTTGATCAGATAAAAATAATTATAAGAACAATAATATTTGAAAATTATTTTTTATCCTATTCAATTAAAAATAAGAATTCCCATAAAAGAAAATTAAAGTTAAGGTTTTTTATCCCTGAAGGAATTTAAAAAAATGTATTTAATTACATATTATTGTAGCTTTCTTAACTGATAGAACTAAAGTAATAAAAAATTATGAACATGATATTTAAACAAAAATAACATTTTTTGTTTAACATCAAGGATCATTTATGTATGGAAAATAAGTCGTTGGGACAACATTTTTTATTAACGCATAGTATGTGACATAAGATTTAATTTTATATATAGTTTATAGGATCCAGTATTTCTGCAACATTTTCAAAAATCAAGTCGAAAAGGTTAACTTTTCATACAAAAGTTGCTATTTGAATTCCCCTTTGTGGACAGGTAAAGAGTCATATTTTCAATAAAATTATATTAAATAAAAAAAATATATATTTTGATTCGTTCATTTTTTTTAGATGTTATGACAGTTTTAAGAAAAAAAAATTTTAAAAATAGCAAAATTTCTCGATTTTAAAAGTTTTTTGGGGATTTAATCCTATTTACGGGGAATGAAGAAAATGTTTAAAATTTTTAAGAGCAAAGTTCTCAACTAAATACAAATATTTATCTTTTAATGTATCATTAAGTAAAATTTATCCAGTAAGAACTGTGCTAAAATGGTGATGGACACAAAAAAGAATAAATAAACACACCATAGTAAAATTGATACATTTTCAGCTTTGCAATGAAGTTAAAGTGAAATTCTCAACACTATTATTTTAAGAGAAATGAATGACCAACAATAAATAGGTGAGCCACTCTGTAGTTTTAAAAATTAAAAGAGCATTAAATTTTAAATAAAAATAATTTTAGAATGAAAAATTATAACTTGGATTTTCATAACTAATAAATTGACAAATTCTATACTTATTATAGAACTTTTAAAACGCCAGATGAATTAAGCCCGAATAGTATTATGTTACTATAAAAGATCCTATAGTGCTTCTATTAAGAATTTTCTTTTTAAGTTACTTAACCTGTTTCAGTAAATAAAGTTTTTGAAAAAAAAAAATATTTATTATTAACCTACTTAGATTTTTTGGAAGAGCTCGATGTAATGACATTTCCGTGTTCTACAATGTTTAATCTGTGTTAACACACAAAAGAATTATTTTAATTTATTTTATTAAAAATTAATGTAATAACAATAAAAAATAAAAACCTTTTTGTTTTTAAAGGCGAATTATTTGGTTTAAGATTATTATTCGAAGAACAATCTTCATTCCATAATGAATTTGTTGATGCACATTGATTTTGATAACCAAATTTTGCAACATCCATGAAATATTCATTTTTATTTTTCTGCAAATTATCAACATTTCTTATTCAAAATTTATTTATTTACTTATCAAAAGTAGCATTTTGATATAAATTGAATTATATTATAAAATAATATATTATGTTAAGCATTTGCGGTGGTAATTTTTCAATAATATTTATGTATATTTTTCTTATGCATCTGTTGACACTAATACACACCTTTTACTATACAAATATCATCAAAAAATGATTAGAGATCTTATCGTATACTTATACGATAGTATATTTAACAAAAAAGTCTGCAATTACTTGGTGTTGTGGAAAATACATACATATTAATAATAATATTATTAATATAATTTAATTTTCAATCTCCGAATTTATTTTCTGACTATGGATAATCAACCATTATTATATTGTCTCCGGGCGCAGATCCGGAAGAAATATTAGGGAGAAGCATTTTATCATTTTAGTTAAAGTGATAGCTATTTTATTAAATGAGGAATTTTAGTTAAAAAAATAATTATATTTTCAGGAGCTATCGCTCTTATGCTCCCACTGTCATATAAAACTCATATGAATTTTATATTTTAACCGTTTTTAGTAAATTAACAAAATATTAAATGTTAATAATAACTTAAATACGATTATTTCAATTTAAAAAATTTACAATTTACAACACAAATAGATTAAAATATTATAATTAATGAAAATTAATAATATTAATATAATAATGCTAAAAAAAAAAAAATTAAAAATGATTTCATTTTACTACAACTATCTTCATTGAGATTTAAAGTTAAATGTATGGACTGTAATCGTTCGTCCCTTGCCCTTGTTTTATAAAGTAGAAAATATTATAAGATAAGAACGTCCAGTGCCGCACTAGTTTTTATTATTATAGTAGTAGTGTATAGACGTTGAAACCATCGAAAAAAGTGAGCGCACACCACTATGTAAGCGGTCAAAAATAAAGTTTTGAAATATGTTTATAATTATGTTTTCTGTATTTATTTATACATATATTTAAGTAAAGTATACAGTCCACATTGAGCCCGAAACAGTCATCTTATAAAATTTTACTTTATTTCTCGGTATAATATTATCAAAATAATTATTATTATTATACACCAAAATTCTGTGATTCATAGTTGGGATTGGTTATGGTCTTAATATTTTTGTCACATATAAGTTGTATAAAACTGAGTAATAGTCTATAAAAATTACTAGAATTTTGAACCTTTGACTGACCAATTTCACCATGGTACGTACGTCACAGTTTACTTATTGTTTGATGTCGTAGCCAAAAATTAAATATACTATCAAAGACGTACAATTAAAAATGGTAAATGTACATCTGTATGTAAAAAAGACCCAACTCAAAAACTACGATACCTCCTAAGGAGAACAAATTCTACTGAATCCTTTCTAGAAAACATTGAAGATCATTTATTGCAAATTATAGAAATGTTTAAAAAGAAAACCCCTAACATATATTTAATTCAAAGACATTACAGAGAACGTCCAAAATATTCTGGACCCAGAATTTGTTATTAATCAGTTAATGTTTCTTTTAAAACAATAATTGACATTGAAAAATTAAAATTCATACTTCAATCTGCTCGTAATAAAATTTGAATAGCCCGACTTTAAAATACATTATTTCAGAGCAGAAAAGAACACCATTTTCTAAAATGGTAACTCATATTTACAATAACTAACTAAAATAAACCAAAAATAACAAATATCTTATTATATAATAGAACAAGGGGAAAAACGCTTTTCTGGAAAAATTACTTAGCGTGCTCGGATTTCCAAAATTTTTTTTTCAACGAAAGTACTCAGTCACCAGACTCCAGGAAAATTTTTGCCAATCGCCTGCGATCGTTTTAAAATTTCGACCGTTTTCGAGAAAAACGCTCGTTGACGTCAGCGTTTACGACTTAAGGTTTGAAATTTTCATCAGACCCGCCCAATGCCGTTCTTGAGATATGATATAAAAATCAATTCAATCCGTTCATTTTTTACCGTTATACGAGCTTTTTTTTTTAAGTCCACGCGCATGGTTTTTATATGCGCAGTGATTCATTTCTGCTCATACGTTTATTATGAACCTTAATTATATGGTGAAATGTGTATTTTTATTAGAACACTATTTTGTATTTGCACATAGCACTATATATTATCGAGAAATATTATATGTTATATATAAATTTCAAGACGGTTATAATTATATAAGTTTGTACTTTCATTTTCAGAACAGTACATTATTAATAATCATTTTTTTCTCATATATGATGTATGAGTCTATGAGTTTATCGTTTAAATTGGGATTCATCTATGATCACTATGCTGTCCAACGTTAAATCGCAGATACCAATATTTTTACTAAAATTAAATTTTTTACATAGTCCCACGCTGAATTTTATTTTTAATTATTCTATAATATAAACACAATTATTACAATTAGAATATTAATAATTTTTGTATATACCAGGGGTGTATTTAAGGGAGATATGGGCCACCCTTGAACCAGCGCTATCAATATTTTTTTAGGCAACTTCTAATAAATAAGGACCTAATGTCCTTTTTTTTCATTATTACTTTAATTTTTAGCAAAAAAAATTCTATAACATGTTTAACAAAATAAAAAATATTAAATACCCTCCTAAAATAATTTTTGAATAGGCCTAAAGGGAATACCTCATTAACAAACGTCAACCTTATACCCAATACATTTTACTATATTCTCTTTTTGAATTTTCCTGATTTTAATAATAATATTTTTAATATATTTTTGTTACACTGATTCTGATGTAATATTTTTTCTGCAAAACACTTATCGTGCCAAGGGTACCCGGGTACCCCTACCGGAATCAGTGGCCTACTTATGATGACGGTCCGAAGAGGCTTACGCGCCTGTTATTTAACTAATATTAGTTAAATATTGATTTATTATGTTTACTATCATAATTAAACTTACAATGAATAATGCTAAAATCAATATTCTTCAATAGAATATCATAATATCATAATATCAATATCTGTAACAGACTCAATGAAATAAAAATGCTTATAAATACACAAAATCCAACTATCAACGGTTACAAAACTTACGCAAAAAATCGTCAATTATGTAGCGGAGAAGTGACCATATTTATCGAACAAGCATATCAAGTTCAAATCATTTCTATTTCATCTTAATTCAAGGTATTCGCAGTTAACTTAAAAGCAAAAGAAAGCATTTCAATATGCAACATCTACCTCCCTAATTCTACATATTTTAACTTTAGCTATATCCAAAATATTGTATACCAACTTTCATTTAGTTAAAAAAATAAATTCGAAGAAATACACACCACAATATTCAAAATTTTCTAACTGACAAAACCTTTAAAGTTAAAGTAAACAACATCCTCTCCGAGAAATTCATCTACGCAAACGAAATAAACAGAAAATCACCAAAACCGATACATATTACATTATGGTCGCAGCAGTTAACGTATTTTAAGTGTTCGTGAACTAAGGAGATATTATAATTCAATCAAGACATTTTGTCGAAGTTAGTAATTAATAAATTAGAAAATTTGTCACTACATAACTATTAGTCTTTATAATATATGCTAATTTGTGTATTCATTGTCTCATCCCGCTCTATAATTCCACTATACGGGTAGAAGAAACTACCATCATCGTCATTGCCGCCATCAAAAAATTTCGCAGAGTGACGGACGCGATCAAATTGTCGGATACGCAATCAAGTGATTGAAACAGTTCACAGTTCATAGTGACGCGATCTTGAATTAAACGTCCAGTTAATTAAACGAGAGTGCGTCAGTTGTTTGTTAGCAAACGAGAAGGTGGAGCCACTGTCACTATTGAGAATTCATGAAACTTCTTTTTGTAATATTCTTCTAATTTTGTATAACAAAAATCTATAAGTAAAATTAAACCGTAGGCTTTAACTCTTCATAGGTCATTTTCTTTAAATATTCAAACTGAAACTTCACTGAAATTGTTTGTATGATGATCTCGTACTGAATGATCTCTTTAAACTAAACACCATTATTATTTGTGTTCCCAGTGTTATAATATGTATTTTTGCCATTTATAATACATTGATTTACTATGCTCTTTGATTGATGCTCTTCGAGCTTCTTCAAAAGTATCTCCATACAAAATTATTTTGAATTCTTGCATTAATGAGATTTGATAATCTTTATTTATATTATTTTTACTGTCGCATAGCCATCTCTAAACGGCTTACATGATATGAAAAAAACATAGCAAAGAAATTGAATTTGGCTACATAAATTTAAAAATATTACTCTCGGCATTAAATTGTTGAGAGTAATGCTCCAAAATTTTAAAACAAGCGCGCAAATATAATATTGTTGTCGCATAGCTTTATAGCCAATGAGAAGATCGCATTCGCTATATGTTTTATTTGGCGTGCGGAATGGTAATATGCCAACGGGGCCAACGTTTTCTTCATTGCAGCCTGAAATACGATTTGCCACTTCGAAAACAACTGTTAAAGGACAATGAGTTTTACAGCTAGCGCCAACTTCAACCAATCAATGCATAGTGTAAAATATAACAAAATAAAAATTTTGGCGAAAAACAATCATCTAAATATTAAGAGAAGTGTATAAATCCGTTAATACTACTTTATATGAATAATTTATGTAATCAATGAAAGTTTATACTGATACATTCTAATAAACATATTCATTAATATTACATTAAATTACCATTTCTTATTTATATTCACCTATAATTAAGGATCAAATGTCAATATTAATTAAAGTAATGTTTTTCTAATATGTGGAAATATTATTTTTAGTTATTTTTATCTCTAATACACAATATTAGTGATTTGACAGAGATACTGAAGTTTTATTATTTACGCTCTGTATTAGCTAGGGAGGCGTGTTAACCATCCATTGCTTAATAACAACCTTAACTAACTACCACGCAGCGTGGAATATTTTGGTTAAATGGTTCAGTAACAAAAGAATAATGGTTTCTAAGCATGTAAA